TATTACAGACTTGAGCAAAGGGAATTACAAGAGCAGCTGAGCCAAGCAGGCAATTTCCAGTGCCAACAATATGGGATATAAAAAATAGAGATGGTTTTGGAGTCATTATTTGATGAGTGCACTAAAGTAGGACATGTGTCTTTGTATTTGTCCTACAACACTTTTGATTTATATGCAGGTAGGGAATAAATACCAAAACAAAAATAATGAAAAAGCTGAGGACAAGGACAGCTACAGCGCATAGTGAGCTTGATATATCTCATGATATAATCTGCCTTATCTACCCTTGATTACATAGAATCATAGAACAGTTTGGGTTGGAAGGGACCTTTAAAGATCATCTAGTCCCCCCCCGCCCTGCCATGGGCAGGGACGTTTTTCACTAGATCAGGTTGCTCAAGGCCCCATCCAACCTGACTTTGAACAATTTCAATGATGCGACATCCACAACCTCTCTGGGCAACCTGTTCCAGTGTCTCACCACCTTCATTGTAAAAAATTATGTCCTTATATCCAGTCTAAATCTACCCTTTCAGTTTAAAATTGCTGCCCCTTGTCCTGTCACTACAGGCCCTGGTAAAAAGTCTTTCTGCATCTTTCTTATAAGCCTCCTTTATATATTGAAAGGCTGCAATTAGGTCTCCCCAGAGCCTCCTCTTCCCCAGGCTGAACAACCCCAACCCTCTCAGCCTTTCCTCACAGGAGGGGTGCTCCAGCCCTCCTGATGGTTTTCGTGGCCCTCCTCTGGACCCGCTCCAACAGGTCCATGGATTTAGAAACAATTCCCCCAAATTATTTTCAGCTGTTTACAGTGGTGTCATTAAAATCTCCTGGACATACTGGAAAATTAGCATATGCTCAAAGCTGTCATACCATGCACCCTTATAATGTCATCAGAAAGTTTCACTGGCCTCATGGCCTTCCATTTGGCCCTACTGTAATACGTATTTTGTACTTCATTTTTTCTGATTCTCCAAAATGGGATTTTCAAATTTGGAAGAAAAAAATACAGTCAGAGAAGAAACTAGGTAAAAAAAGGAAAAGATGAAATATAAAAACAGGAGAAAGGTCAATTTGGGGAAAAAAGGGAGGGAAATGACCAGGTTGGCACCATTGGCAAGCTTTATAAACTGACTTTCTATCCCTTTTTCCCTTCTTTTTCTAAGCTGCCCTGAATAAGAGTAGCAAAACAGAAATCTGACTTGCAAAAGTACATCATGATACTGCATGACTGGGCAATAAGAGAACAGATGAAACTGAATATAATTTTATGCAGAATAATTCAAGTGCTGGAAAAAATATACCGACTACAGATACACACTGATGGGTTCTGAACTAGATATTACCTTTCAGGAAAGAGTTCATAGAGTTATAATAGGCAATTTTATGAAAACGCCATCTCATTGTTCAGTCGCAGACAAAAATAAAAACAGAATAATCCACAACACTAGAAAGGAAAAGAGAACAAACTAGGAAATTTTATTATGCCAGGGGATAAATCTGTGGTGTACTCAGATCATGTGCAGTTCTGGTCTCACCATTTTTAAAAGGATATGGAACAAAGAGGTACAAAGAGTGACACAGATGATCAAAGGCATTTAAGGACTTCTAAACAGTCTTCGGCCTGAAAAATATCTTAAGGGTAGATATGGAAAGAGCCTATAAATTCTTAAGCAGAATGAAGAATGAAATTGTTCACTTGCCTCTTCCAGTATTAGGAAAAACCAAATGAAACTAGGAGGTGACAGGTTCAAATCAAGCAAAATTCTTCACACAATTCATATCACATTGTGGAACTCTGATGCAACATTGTGTCGGCACTCAAAATTTGCATAGATCCAAAAGACAATTAAAAAACTCAGAGAAGAAAAATCTATATATTAAACACAAAGTAATTCTGTGGCTCAAGTTGTCCTTGGGCTGCCTACCAGAGAAAGCTGAGAAAATATGCACATCCAGCTATCACCAGCATGTAATCTCCTCCATACAGTTAGGCATCAACCTAGCCCTAGTAAAACCTTAAATCCCTTCCTGGGAAGGGGGGAGGGGGCTTCGAGAAAAAGAAAAGTGAAAGAAAACAACTAATTACCAAAAAGAACGAAGTGAAATGAAATGAAGTGGAGGGCTTTAGGGGTCAGAGGATAAATAGTCTAAAACTAGGTAACTAAGGGACAGACAAAGCAGAGCACCTTGGCTGCTGGCCACAGCCAAAGACAATACTGGACTGGAGAGACGATTATCTGAGCTGGTGCAGGCCTTTCTGTGTACCCACATACAGTTAGCCTAAAAAAGAGAGAACATATTTTAGGGCATGACTCAGTAAGCCTCTATTAGCACACTTGAGCATGTGCTTGATATAACCATAAGGTCCCTGGAAGTTAATGATGTTAACGTAAAATATACTTTGCATCAGACAGGCACAGAAATTTTATGTTGAACAGAAAGATAAAATCTGAACTTGCTGAAGGGCCTCTTGAAAAGATGAAACAGGCTGATAAACCAAAGTGGCACAGACCCAAGAGGGTTTGACAGAACAGAAAGCTAAAAGGTAGGAATCAATGCTAGACATAAAGATACGGTGCAAAAGCAGGAGTAGGGTATGTATCTAGTGCCTAAGAGGAAGCTGAGATCAAGGGAAGGTGTAACAAACAAATATTCTAGTGTTTATTCCAAGGCATAAACAAAGTTATAGTCTAATAATGGCAGAAGACAGAGATTTGACAGAACAAAATAACTAAGTGGGAAGGTGAGCCCTGTGCTATGGTATGAAGGAAGGGACAGGGCAATTTTGTGGCAGCAGCTAAGAATGACAGTGAAGGTAAAAGTCCGTGCCAGAGTCTGTCAATTACTTTCTCAAGAAACTACTAAAATGTTAGACAAGGAAGAAGGAGGTTGGGTAGGCTGTGGGAGTTGCAAAAACATGGCAGGTACTGGAAGCAGCTATCTAGAAAAATCAAAACTGTTGGAGACTAGTGCCTTTCACAACAAAATGGACAACCAGCAAAAACTTTTGCAATTTCTTCTTCTCAAAGAGAACACTTTTAACCATTCCACCATTTACTATACTACTTTGCAAACACTCAAGGTATTCAAGAGTTGACAGATTGTTCATTTAAAACAAAAAAAACTTTAAAAAATAAGTAAAGTTTCCATTTTGAAATCTCATCGATTGTAATTTAAAAAAAAAGTTTACAATTTTGAACCAGAACAAAACTTTAAATGCTAGCTAAATGAAACCTATGTAGTGACCTCAAATTATTTTTCTACTGGATTTTCCAGAATGAATTAAAAAATTCAGTTAAATTTTGCATTTTTTCAAACTGCCAAGAAACAAAAAAACCTTTAACTTGATAAATTTGCATATCTCAAAGATACTCTTGCAAAAACATAACTTAAACCACAAAGATCACCTTTTCCCAAGCCGCACACCACCACAGAATTGGAAGTATGCCTGAAAAGTCAGAAAATTAAGCCTTCTTTTGGAATAAAAATGATGAAAAGACCATCACAGAAATGCCTTGGGAAATCTCCCTACCATACTGAGAGGATTTCAGCTTAAGGACTTCTTCAGAACACTGTACAGCTGTGACCAGCAGGGAGGCAGATGGAGAACTAGGGAGACAAAAACTGTGCACCAAGTAATGTGTGTAGCCGCCATCCTTGCTCACTAGCAATATCCCAAAGCACTCTTCTTCCCACACCAGTAGATAAATAAAATGGGTATTATTCACAAGGGATAACCATATGGTTTGTATAATCTTTATATGCTATTTTCAGTACATTATTATAATACATAGTAGAGACCTACAAAATAGGATTAAAATTTGCTTTCTGTTTTACAACCAACCTGTTCCATTCGGGTACAGAGACAGAGGTGAGGGCACTATTAACAGACTGTGTTACTTCCACGTGCTGTCCCCACCTCAATACTCGTAGAACATTGCAATTGTTCCATCTGGGGCATATTATTGGGTTCCCAAGCTCAAATAAATATTTATCAGCCTTGCTGATAATTATTTGCTACTAAATACTTGTTTAAATTGTGAAGTCCTGACTTTTTTTTCTATTCCATTTCAGCCTACATGCATCTGTCTGCTTTGTGCCTTCCCAGTGTGGAATGCTGTAATACGTAGCAAAAAAAGACAGGAAAAATGCAAAAATATCAACTACAGGAAAGAAAATGAACCTAAAAACTGAAATCCATTTACCCTTAAACTGTGTCCTTTCTCTCTCCAACTCCTTCATTTCCTCTCACCCTTTTTTTGATAATGAAGTATCAGAATCCAAAATCCATTTTTATTCTAAATTAAGGTATCTGCACTGCTGCAGAAACAATACCGATCAGGGTTTTTGTCTGGATACAGTGTATGCTTTCCAATTTTCAATGTCATTTTTTTTAGCATATACAAAACATTGCAGAAGCACATGTAAATCACCACTCTCTTGCCCAGTGGAACAGAATTTCAGTCACCAATGCCAACAGTTGCCTACAGAAGGCATCTACATCTGGTCTGCTACATCCAAGACAGCAACCACAGGCACACGTTTTGCTTTGTTTGGAATTCATCACTGTGGTGCAGCTGAGCCTCAGATAAAAAAAAACAAACGATGAGCCTCCAGGGTTAAACAGACAAATGTTTTCAGTCACAACAACTTTTTTTGTGAGGAAGCAAAGCCATAACAATGTATGTAAGAGGTTTTATGTAAATCATTAAAGGCCTACTGACTTAAATTGTTGCTAACACCAAGAAGTTGCTTAATGTACACTTGAGAGTGTGAAGGCAGAACAGATGAATAGTCTCACAAATCTTATTTGCGCAGTTGGAAAAATGCAAAAAGAGAAAAAAAAAATTGATTCCTGCCCACTGCCACTCAAATGTAAAAGGTAAACTAATATTCATCATTTCTGAGTGCATGATGGTTTTTACTGGGAGGCAGAAGGGGCATATACAATCAGTAAACAAATTTACTTTCAAATCCACACAGAATTCAATACCTACCTAGCCACTCGTTGAATTTTTTTACTTCACTAGGAAGCCCCAGCTCAGTAAAATCACCAGCATGTATTAACACATCTCCATATGGCATTTGGATGGGATCAGTTCTTGAGTGGGTATCAGAAATACAGACAAATCGTGTATATCCTGGAGGTTTGGGAGCATCATGGGGCACCGGATCAACCCTGTAGGAAATGCATCATAACAAGGTTATAAAGTACTTATGTACTTCTTAGTGTCTACTTTGCAATTCTAATACTATTTTTTACCTTTACAAAAGATTACACAGGCTTCTAGATCTGTCTGATGGAAGGGATTTATTAAAACAAACCTAACACTAATGGGAGGTGTAAAAATTCTTGATGTTCACATCACAACATTTTCAGTATTTGTTGGGTGGATGGATTAATTTAAAGAGATTAAGGAAAAGAGATTGGACTATGGCAGTAACTCTGAAACAAATACTTACAAATAAATCAAAGGCATTGCCAGTTTCAAAGGAATAGTACTATCCCATTTCATTGTTTAAATATGATTACATGGTACACAGGGAAAAGATTTATTTTAGATACATAAATACATTTAAATACATTTTTTCTAATTATTAACTTTTTTCTGCAAGTTATATAATTCCAGCAAATTTAATTAACACATTTTGGAGATATGTTTCAGTGTATTAATGCAAAGCAAGATAAGAACTCTCCTGACAACAGCTGTAAATGTACATTCAAGCCTGACTATTGTCAGGACAAATGTGGCAACTTTGTGGGTTTAATTATACTAAACGAAATCAGATGCCGTGACCGGTGAGGCTGCATTGTTCAGAGCCCAATCTCGATATTCAGAACTGAGGAAACAAAAAGATCTGACCCAGTTTGATGAGACTTACTTATGATTTAGAAGAGGAAAGCAGAGAACACCTCTCTGGTATATGAGGTATACTTATTTTCAACTCAACCTTTTTACCCTCTATCTGTATTTTGTTAGAATATACAGAACCAAATGTATCTATATGCAGCTATACCATATCTGCTATTCCAGTTAGAGAATTCTGGTGGAATAAAATCAAAAAGCCAGAGATGCAAGAGTTACATTTGTGTCACTAGAAACCAGAGAGATAAACAGAATTGTTATGAATTATTTTACTTTTACAACATTTATTTTGAAACGACAAATAAAGTTAGTTTTGTTCACTGCTGCAGTATGTAATATATATTCCTATTCCTTGTTGGTTGTGCTTCAATTCAGGAGCTTACTTTTATATAAATAAACTCAGAAAAAAAAGTTAAGATATCTTTGCTATTAGTACTACTACTCCTGTTTACTGGGTAAATTTTCAAAAGGCATTTTATTGCTTGAAAGACATAAGATAATAATCTTTAATCATGCAATCTTTTCTCTAAGTCAAAGAATTCTATGAAATTTATAGGCGGGTAAACTGAGGGGTTTTGACAACTTCACAAGATTAGTGAGAGAGTGAGGAATAAATCTAAAACATTGAAATCCTGTTAAATACAGAAAAAGTTCTTAACATTTTCTACAATATTAACTACAAAACTAGAGTATGAACAAATTATTTTGTACCTGTCTTTCCTATACCTTTTTTGGAAGAAGTAGTGTTGGGTTTTTTACAGCAGTACTGAAGAAACAGCCTTTTATTACAAGTACCTTGTGGTCATCTTTCTGAAGTTCCAGTTTTTGAGCAGAAAGTAACCAAACATGAGGTAAGGAGTAAAACCAGCTGTGATCAAATCATACCTAGCGAATGCCCAGCAGTACGTACATGCTAGTGGGATATGTAAGCAAGCGCGTACTGGAAATTGTAAAACTTGGCTGACAAAGAGTAGAATGTTTGGACCCTGAGAGAGAGCAGCTGCGAACGCTGCGTGTAGGGCTGAGGGAGCGTGTATGTTGTGAGAGGACCACGGGCAGATGAAAAAAGGAGAGTTAGTTGCAGGGGGAGTGAGGCATAGGTGGTCACAACCTCAAGCATCGCAGCTGCACGACTGCCATCGCATGTTAAAAATGTCTCTGTTTTGGAGGGAAGAGAGCTGCCACAGAGCAAGCTCCGTGGCTGCTGCGTGAAGGCAGCAGGGGTGAAAAGGAGTATGGATGGTGAATGGTGAGGTCTAGACCAGTGAGTGAGGTTGCCATAAGGTGCGAGCTATGTGAAGGGTAATGCATTGAGTTCATGGAGTTCCTCCACAACATGAACTAGGATAAAAATGACGAGGAGCTGGCCCTGGCTTTCGCTGCAGTTAAATATCAGTTCAGTAAACAGGTTTCTGATTGTTGCTCTCCCCGCCCAGCACTTCCCAAAGTGAGTTACAGGTTGTATTAGAAAGCCAGCTTTAAATTATGCATGCTACCCTGGCACAACATAAAGATATGGACTGGTCTAAATACCACTTTTTGACTTTTCATGGTAGGGTAGCCTTTAAAGCAGGTGCTTCTTCCCCTTCAGAAATCTTTCAAAGCTCAGCACAGCAGTAAGTTGGGTGTTGGGGAGTAGCATGCATTTCACATGTTGCTTCTCTGAAGCTGAATGGAAAAAACAACAGACTTACCATGGCAACCCATGCAGCACATAATACACAGGCTTTTTCTTATAGTTTGGATGGGGACAGGGAAGATGTGGGCAGCATTTTCCTGGTTGCTGAGGTATGTGTAACTTTTAAATCCTGTGCAATGGGCCAGAGAATTTTCATGGCAAAAAGGCATCAATACAAAAACCCAAATAAATGAAATGCAGATTTTTCACATTGAAGTGATAGGCACACACCGAGGCCATACATAGGTAAAAACATATGTCAAGTTTCACAAACGCATCTAAGATGTATGACTGGAAATATTTTCTGAAACCTCGATCCTCATATTCTTGTGTAACGCGTTCCCACAGCAGCTGTCACACCAACACCCAATGCACTGCTTGCAGCGTGAGCAGAGGAATAAAGATCTGCTGATTATTTTTGTGCAAATGCTTTTCTTTAAACCAGTATGAAAACTTGTAGAGAAACTGAAAAGCAAAGTTAAAAAATCTCAGAGCGAAAACACTGCCGGAGGTTAGTTTATACGCTAGATTTCAGTCGTTTCACAAAGGAGCAAAACAGGAACTTTCCAGAAACGACTGATGGACTTGAAAACACTGGCAGAATTTACCACCCTTCTTGTCAGTGGCAAGCCAGTCATCTCGCAAGCACAGGGATGCCAGACTACGATGGAGCTGGAAAGGGCTTTCAGCATGTTATGAGTGCTAAGAAGTAAAACAAGAAATATAAAACTCCACAGAGGATCAAGGAAGAGCTGCAAGACTGAATTCAGAAGAAAAGGCGCATAAAAAAACCCCCTGTGGTTCAAGTAGTTTACTATGAATTCAGATGTTAACAGGTCTATGTGAAATCTGTTTATGATTGCCTGCAACATCACTAATCTAGGTATTTTGAACTATACACAAAGACATGGCAAAGCCCTCACCTCCCTGAAGTTAATGACAAAACTTGCATGGACTAAAGCAGGGCTAAGATTTCACCCATAACAATCACGTGAATAAAAGGTGCTTTTGTTACACTTTTTATGTCTACTTTTCCCTTCTTTGTTACTATTCTATTCACTGGTAGGAGGCAAAAGCAATCCTGCTGGTATTCAGAAACTTTATTTACAATTTCTGTACCAGGAGAAAGAGTAGGTCAGATTGTGGTAAATGTTTCAATTGATTTAGCCTGTTCTTCTATTTGCACAAGCTTCTTTAATAGTATTAATCATTCATGAGAGATTGCTAAACTCTTCTGAGGAACCATTTTCTAAGGATACCTTATTTTCAACTGCTTGCTTAGGTACTGAACTTCTATCACGCAGTTGACTATCTAAGCCCTCTGGTAATATGATTTGTTACTGGTTAGAAGTTTAAACAGCATATTGTTGAGTACCAAGTGGATACTAATAAATAACTTATTTTCAGCCCAGTAAAAAACATTCAGTTTTTAAGACCAGTGAACAAATTCATGAGTGCCCAAGAACTGTCTGAATATTGACGAAGAATAGCTAAGCCTCAACAAATAAAGCAACCTGCATTTGGCATTTTCATTTGTAAAAGTATTTCTGAACCCGCTTGTTTGTTTGTACTTTTGCTACCATTTGCCAGCTCTATAAACAAAAGATGTTCCCCAGTGCTAACACTCAACTCATTTTACTGTTTGTATTTCAATAGTACCTAAAAACCCCCAACACAGATCATAAGCTAAAATTTTGCTCACCACCCTCGTATATATGTTAGTCTTCAGATTTTTTTAATATAATATCTAATTTATGCCAAACAATGTACGTAAGCGTTCACTAAATCGATACATAGCATTCAACCAGTCATAATTGCTGAGATTTTTAACTGCAGAAATCATGGCCTATGTTTGTAAATTATCACATCATATTAAACACCAAAAATGTGAATGAGGTGATTATTTATTCAGTCTTCCTAAAGGAAAAATGTTTCCTTTAAAAAATTAAAACCGGCCTTCTGATCTAAAGATAAGGCTGCTTCTCTCTTTAATAAACACAATAAAATGGTGCAGACATTTTTATTCCCTATAAAACTATTTTACAGTAGAATTTTATACTTAATTTATTTGTAATAGCTTCACTGTTTTGCTCCTCATTCTGGCTTTAAACTTTATGGCAGGTTTCATTTTGTAATTATAATTCTCCACTTTACATTACAAGTAAATCATTTAAAGCAGTTAATTTTACTGATGTTGTCATTATATAAGAAGTCAGAAACAAACACATTATTTTAATTACTCTTTAAGCACTTGGCATCTTCAGCACATCGGTATGAAAGTAAGTTGTCGGATGGGTGCCCACACTATTTTATTTATTGATGTGATTTTTTCCCTTGTATGTAGCTGTAATATAACTAACCAAACAGTATGTGTTGTACAGATACAGGCTTGGTATTTTCAACAGCTATTTACATCAATAAGTAAATGCACAATGCAAACATTATTAAGGTTGCAGAAAGTATCATCCTTGTAGCATCTCTTATTTTATTACCACTGCTTGTTGTTTATTTCTCTTTTTAATACCTAAGTATTATGTATTAAAGTTACGGTAGTGGAATGATCTTTCTCCCATCCTTTAACAAAGTACTTATACTTTCCAAATGGACTGATTTTGTATCATTATAGTAATTATTATTAGAAAGGCAGGAAAACAGTGTTCTTTTTGAATTCTTTTTGACTGGTCCATCAAATACCACATTGACAAGGCAATAACAATTCAGAAGGCTGTGCTAAAGCAATAACAAAACTATAATACTTACATTTGCACATGTGGGGGCTGAAAACGTCCCTGGTTAATGTTGTAGAACGTGAAAGCCTGTGTGGGGTTGGAGCTGTACTCATCCACTTCAATTATGAGTCTACTGTGCTGATGCCTTCTAGCTGCCATAATGTGCGACTGGGCGAAAGCCATGCTTGCACTGTGTAGTTCAGCTTTTTCAGGCGATCATATCTGCTATCTTCCTACATCGACGGAAGAAGACCATGACATCTCCTTACCTACTCAGCACACTGTCCTTTGAAAAACCTAAAAGCAGATCGAAGAGATGGAACACAACTGTTTGACAGTTAATCTGTTTGGAATTTGCTTTATTTAATATGAGATGAAGATGAAGGGGGGATATGCAGGGATGAAGACACACAGCTCAAAGAACTCATCACAAACCTTTCCAGCTCAGCAATTTGATGAATGCACTTTAGCTGGGGGTAGGAAGCAGGGACTGAAAGTAAACTTACTAAAGAACACAGGGGTAACTTGCTCAAATATTTCAGACATTTAATACAAATCTAAAAGACAAGGCAGTCATTCAGAATGGTGCGTCAAATAATAATGTTTCTTCAACACAATCATTTACTTTCTTTTATTGCATTGCTGAAGGTTTATTCCTCATCCTCCTTCCAAAAAATCCCATCAAACCTAAAACTGAAGACACGACTGTGCATGACTAAAATGCGACTTAATCAGTTTAACCAATTCTTCAGAAAGCCTGTGCCATTTATTACATGGAAGCATTGCAAGTGGTTGTTCTTTACATCCTAAGGAACAGAGCAAACGGTCTTCTGTGCACTTGCTCTTGGTTTTATAGTATCACTGAAGGAATTCCTGGCACAGATATGAAGGGCTCCCCCCTTCAAACACATTCTCTTCTCAGTCAATACTAGCCCAACATTGTGGATTCACTGGAAAAGAAAGTGATTCAAAGGCGAACACACAGTTAAATATTATTAAATATTAAAAAAAAGTAAAATCCATACAGGTTTTATGTGTGGGAATAAATTTTTCCCTGAAGGTTATGCAAGTCTAGAACAGCAGCAATGAAAATGGGTAGAGGAACAGCAAAGTGAAACCAACTGAAATGCAAAGAGTATCCCCTAGAAACAGCAGAAAGTAATTTAACTGTGAATTTTACTTTTATTTCCCAGTTTTAATAAAAAATAGATTATAAAGGTGGGTATTTTTACAGTATAATTTTGCATCCTTTTTAAAAGTTGTCTGTCTTAAATATTTACTTTCATGCAAGCAAGAGCTCTTTTCTTCTAGGGAATACAAGTAATCTGCTTCAGAAGATATATTCATGAAAAGCCATGCTAGAATGCAGCAATTCACTTAATATGTGCAGTTTCTGGAAAGCAGAACTACAGGTATTTTACATGACCTTGGTGATGTGCCTTACTTCCCTTCTGAAGGGACCACTGCCAAGAGTGATGGATGAGGGAGGTCTTCAAAGTCAGGCACATTTTTAAAGCTATTTACAGGTACTTAGGTCCAATTCAGTTCTAGTGGCAAGTCAATCACCTAAGCATCTTCAGAAATCTGGGCTTCAGTCCTCTGCTTAACTACTACAGATGTTAAGTGCTCCAAGAAGTGGCGGTGTATTTTTGTTTTGGGAAAGCTTGGTCTTAGGAAACTGAAATGAGATTCAGCTCAGTTTTGTTACTTGCTGAATGGCTGTAAAATGAAGACAACTTCCTGACACTAACAACCCCCAGGAAAACAGTCTGAGAAGAAAAGAGAAGACTCCTTCATGCCCTCCCCTAGAACTGCGTGGTAAGGAAATGGTAGAATAACAACAAAGAAAATTTTGGATTTTGAACACTCTCGGATGCCGTGTTCAGGCTATGGAACACGCAGCAGCACAAAGGAACATGCCAGAGCAGGGGGAGAGGAGGGAGGCACAATCCTTGTAAGAATAATCAAATACAAATTGCTGCATTTAGGAAATAAGAAATTATGACAGCAGATGTGAAGAACCCTCCCTGAGGAGCTTCCGGTATTAAATGATGCATTTGTTAAGAAGTTTGAATAGGCAAGGTCAGAGATTTTATAGGGGGCAAACTGTTCTAAGTGAACCTACTTCTGTTTGAAAGAAACTATTAGAACCAGTGACCTCTAGAAATATTCTCCAGTAAGATTAATAATTTATGATTCCACAGCTCTACATAAGGATTTCAAACTACCTGAAAAACACAGCCTTTGTTTTGTAATTCAGGGATTATGCCCACTTTACACACAACTGAACCGCAGTTACAAAGGAGTTAAGGCACTGCCTTAGGGACCTAGAATTTCCCTTTGGCCTTAGTAAGTTCTCAGGAGCTCACAGCAGCTGAGAAAATGGCTTCTATCAGCCTCCTCCTTTGGGTCCTGTCTTTTATGACTTCTCTCAAGTTATACATCAAATCTGCTGCAGAACAGCTGATGTATGCAGGTACCCCAATATCCACTCTTAAGCTCTGCTTCCTCTTTCTGGTTAAGTGGAAAATAGCACTTACAAACACAAACTACCTCAAAAGAACAAATTTGTTTGCAAACAGAAACAAACCACAGCCAGCACACCGCTGATATACCCTTTAGTGCTGAAGCATTCTTTTAAGCCGGGAATCAATCCTTGCCCATGGGAGACTGTATGAATCACACCATTAGGCCAGCTTGAGAGGATGCTAGCCACAGACATTCAGCAAGAAGTTCACCATATAAACATGTAAAAAATGTGAAGACAACATATTTCACTTGGTAAGGAAAAAAAAAAAAAAGATATGTCACAGCACTGCTAAGCCTTCTGCCAAATGACAGTCACCCAATGTCAACCCTGGACACATAAAAAGCATCCAAGACTGGAAAAGAAAAGGAAGAGCCAGATCCTGCAATAAAATAAAATAACTAGCAATCATATGAATAGCCTGTGCTAAACAAAAATCAGATATGTAACACACATAATCAGTAAGCATAATTCAACAGCAAGCTTAATTCAAGCTCATTTCAGAAACATACACAGATGTCTTTGAACCTTACCTTTCAGTCTAGGGTTTTCTTCCTGCATAAGTGGTTGGCTGACTACTAACATTCTTGGTGTTCGACGGAACAAGCTGTCTCTTTCCAGCTTGACTGATAACTAGACTGACACCCATTACTCCCCTCTTTCTGTTTCCATTTCCAATAGTCCCCCAAATCATAACTTTTTCTTTCTTTTAATATTCTGAAATTTCTTCCTTTCCCAAACCAGTGTATAAAATGCAGCAGGGAAATAATTATCTGCTTCTATAACATGCAAGTTTTAAAATTATATGCCCAGCATTACCAACACAGAGCATTAAGACTCAAATCCCCACAGCAACAACATGCTAACCATCCTCTTCCCCCAGACTTATGGAGCTGCGGGATGTCTGCCAGGGAAAAACAGAGAAATGTAAAAAGGACTGCAAGAACATGAATACTAAAATAAATATCACAAACCTGGCTGTTAGAATCACAGACTGAGAAAAAGCTATTAAATCAGCTAAGCCATCTTCTTACTGATGGCAGGAATTACATTATTTTTCTGCTGCTTTCTCCAGCGTGTGTTCAAACGTTCACAGAGTTTTGACCCAAAGCCCACTGTGTACAACGGACACTGCTCCACCATCTTCAGAAGGCTTTGCATCAGGCCATAAACTAGGTGGACTGCAACACCTCTCCTGAGGAATTACTGGACTAGGCAGGTGCTTGAACCCAGATGTATATTTAAGTACTTTGACGAGGTCCTCAAATAATCTTTGTATTAAGATTTTTCTACTTTTTCAGCCTGAAATTTCTGGTATTTTCACCCCACAGCCTTCTTGAATAGCTGGAATAATTATTTCCCTCTTTTACGTGAATTTTCCAGCCTTTTTATGCATCCTATTTCTCTTTTTTTTCCATTTCAATGCCAATGTTTTATTTTAATCTCACTTCTTCACTCATAGATTCTACTTTATTCTATGCTCATCCTTCAGTTCACACTCATGTCCACTGTCTCTTGCCATATCTCATTCCATCGTCCCCACTGTTCCCTCCATCATCTACCCTTTGTCTCAAGCCTAAAACCAACACTGAGACTTCTTGAAAATTATTCCAGCAACACACAATATGAATCTAGACTTGAAAACAACATGGCTCAAGCAGATGTCACTAAAATAATAATTAGAAACCAAGATGAAATACCGATGATGATGATGATTATGATAATTAAAAAAGAAGTTATAAATTAACAGAGAAACATGTGAAGGAGTTAACCTGTTGAGCAATGAACTTTAACTTTACTACTTTACAAAAAATCTGGAGGTCAAGAAGCACATGGCTACAGCACACCTTGACAAGAGTTGAAGAGATGCAGTTGCCAGATTTTGCACTAGTAACAGTGAGATAACATAAAGAAAGAAGAGGATGCTGGGACTCTCAGCAGTACCAAGATCAGTGGCAAAGAGGTAACTACAGAAAACATGTTAGTTCTGTTCAGAAAGTCTGACAAGCTAGGATTTGGGGAGGCAATGAAGAAATGAAATGTAGTATCGGAAAAAAAAAAAAGAGGCATTTTCATGCAGCTATAAAACATCAAAGCCGTATTTTTTCAGGGAAAGCCAGTAAGACAATAGCAGTAAAATAACTTAAAGAAGCATGTAAGAGTTTGTGATAGACTGCATAGTGACACACTTGCTTCTTGTGCAAAGCTTGGGTACTGTTAACCAGAAACCCTTCCAAGAGCTTCATCCCCTATACTGCACTACAGTGCTCTTCATAAACTGTCAGGTCATCCTTTACACAGAGAAGTAGACCCTTTATTTAAACACCCCAAAAGCGCTAGAGTATTCTGCAGCAATGGTCCCAATTGTTATAGTAGCACTCCTATAACCACTAGTGATTGGCTTCATTATCACAAATTACTATTTTTGTTTTAACCCCCCACAAAAATCTTGTTAGACCGACCAGCAATAAGCAAACATACTGGAACCAGTAAAGCAATCACTTACTATGAGAAATAGGCTGAAAATGCTAACGGTTTTTTGCTGTCTAAAATGCCCATTTCAGATACTCCAGATAGAAGCCAATCAATGGAATTAGTCTGCTATCTTCAGTTCTGCCATCGGGAAATGAATACTGAAATAATCCTAAAAAGGCATTATTCTGTGGGAAAGGATGAGCCAGGCAAATCACTCTGCAGATGAAAGCTTTTCCAAAGGGATACACTCTCCTCTTCATTTTCTGAAACAGAATGCAAGTCCTGGCAAACCAAA